CTCAATGCTAGACGGGTTGCCATCTTCGAACATACCTTACTCTCATCTTTGCCGAGTAACATATGAATTTCTGTGCGTCGTTCGATCCAGCGGAATCTCTAGATTCAGAAAAATATATGTTTTGTTGAGAAATTCAGCTCTGTTGAGGAGATATGGCTATTTTCATAAAGACATCTCAGCAACAAGCGCAAAGGCGATCATTGATATACATTCGATCACTATAGATCAATATCAATACGTTTCTATGTCCCTATAGGTGTTACCATTTTCAAGGTACCTGTACTCTCAGGTTTGCCCAGGAACATATAAATTTCTTTGCACCGATTGCTAAGAACCTCTGTTTTCAGAATATCATATATTTTGCAGAGCAGTTATGATCAAATGAGGAGATATAGCTTTTTCTCAATAGTTCCTTGACTTACTCTTCACTAATAATGCCATCCAAATTTCATTCGTAAGCACGGGATTCCATGTGATTCTTGCAATGTGAAGACATGCATTCACTGATATATTATACATTCTGAAGTGAATGTTCGCCAATAATTCCATATTCTCTGGCTAATTATGATTATTCATTCGTGAACGATTATCCACAGCTGACAAAATTATTTCAACGAATCGAATAATCTCTATTCAATAACAATTCCCATTGGTAAACAACATTTATGAACATTCAACATTATGGGATATATGGCAAATTCAGAGTGAAAATATTTGAAGTGACGAAACAAATTCATAAAATGGTAAGTATTTATTGAAGCTGATAATGATGACAATAATTTTTTTACAGCAGTAAAGTTGCATTTTAAAATGTGGACATCTATCAAATCCATAATAATTGTAAATGGGAACAATAATAATGAACTAGGGTACAATAATAATAATGAACTAAACAGACTAGGGAACAATAATAATGAAATTAATTGATTACAAATGCAAGATTGAATGATAGTTTACAATGCGAATCATACAGCATAAAATCGACAGATGAAGAGGATAACGAGCAGTGATAAGCATAGAACACAGCAATAGTGAATTTGTTGACGTTAAAGTTGGAGTAATTCGTTTTATCGCATATATCGGTTTGCATATTGCCGTTATTAATACGAAAATGGTTGATGTCGAGAAAATTAATGTTTCTATTATTAGGCGTAATATCAAATTCCAGCTGATCAGCCGTTTGCAACTGTTATAATACAGTCGAAAGAATTTTCGTACTGTGGGAATGTGTATCTTTTCTAAGGAATCTTTGATGGTCGTCCACTAAATTGTTCAGCTGTTCTATAAATTCATTTTAAAGAAAATACCTCATTTTCCAGCAAAAGCTCATGCAAGAAATGTAGTCCACTTAATGTGGCAGTTCAAGGAAGTGGATACATCATCAATGAACTGCCTTTGAAAAATACACTTACGGTAGTAAATTTGCAGTTTGTCACAGTTTGCAAAAATTGCTTTGTTAAGGGTTGCTAAAATAGTGCAGTGAATTTTTTGGGTGAATTTGCAATATGAGAGAATTCATCATTGCAGCATGTAATTTTTTGAATTATGTCTAATATGTGGAAATAAAACTGCCTGATCATACTTAAAATATTTGTTCATTGACATAGTCAGCAAATATGAACGGCTTCACACAATAATGAATAGTAACAACAAAACGATAATTAGAACAGTGATGATAGTCGAACTGCAACGATAATTAGACAACAATTATAGTATTACATTCATATACGATATTTATCCTTCGATAACGAAAATAATAATGATAACAATAGTAAAAAGAATTTCAGTAATGGCGATATTGATGGTCACAAGAACAACAATCAAAGCAATAGGAAACAATGACAACAGTCTGGTTAATTGAATGACACTGTTGAATTTGGTTTTATTAGAAACATAGTCACAATTCTGGCAGCTCGATAGGGCAACTAAATGAAGAATTAATTTCAAGAAATAAAATTTGAAAAATCGGATATTGGCCTTGCAAAATGTTACTGATGTAATTTGGATATGTGATCAATCGGTGTGGTCAATGTATAAAATTGTTGTCATAGGCAACAGTTAATCGAGACTTTGTGTAAAGATGATTTCGTTGATCTGTTTTATGTAAAATAACTAAAACGCGTTATGGCATTTACGTATACGTTAGAAACAGGCTCTCGTAATGCCGAATAGCCGCGGGGCTCAACAGTGAGCATATTCTAGTTAAGAGCAAACAGTGCGAAGCAAATAAATTATGCATCCGTGTTCCATATTCTTTTATAAGCGCCATTTTCGTACATCGGTTTTCATTTTTGACACCGCCAGAGCGGTTTGCTTGTTTCACGATATCGCCGCAAATGTTGATTACTCGGATTTATAGTATCATATATAAGGTTTCATTCACTGTAAGGCTATTGCGCCCCATTTCCTCACGATTATCTAGTTACTAGATTTTTCTTGTATAATCTAAGGTATAGTTCAAAAAGTTCACTCACTGCATTGTATAGAATTTTCGTTGACTTATATTTGTTGAAACTTGGTCGGCATCATTCAGTTAATTGATAAATTTTTTCAATTATAAAAAGTAAATAAATATAACTTATAAGCGACATTTACTCAACATATAAACTTTATTGAGTCATTGACGATTAGGCGCATAACACCTGTTTTATAAAACGAGATTAGTATTATCCTGTACAGTTTGTCATTTGCTTACATTGCACTTCAAATATCGTTTTAGAATTTTCACACCCTTGAAATTCGCTTTTTTCGTCTTCGGTTCTTACGATGCGAAGCTTTCCTCGAAATCAGACTTATCTCCTCTCGTTTCAAACAATTTGATTTTTCATTTACATCCAAAATTGTCCATCACTCACTAGGACTCATCAACAGATGCCATATCGAAATTCATAAATAAGCAATATTTGAATTAGAGAACTATTTCCTGTGTTCCTTATCCCATCCACATTGATAAGATTATTGTCAACAGCAAGGTTAAAAACTTACTAGAGTAATCCAAGCGTAAAATACTAGGTGTTAAGAAAATGATAAGAAAGTTCACACAGAACGAGGAAACACCAAACCAATGTTACAGATGTACACCAAGATGAACGGTAATTATTTGATTGCCTGCATATCGATGTCACTTTCTGTTGGTACAATCACCAGCTGCATCGCTTTTCTACCGTTTCTCATCAATAAACTGAACGTTTTGAATGCATCGCTTAGCGTACAGCTTGATCAGTTTGATGCGATTGAGAGTAATATTCTTCAAGAGGTACGCTCACTAGGACTCATCAACAATAATCAAAGAACTCGGCGTCAGACAGTGCCTAAATGTGGTTAGTTGATCTTTTTGTAAATATACTACTGGTCATATTTTTCATATCAATCATGTTATATCTAACTGCTTGTTTCGATAGTAGCCAGAAACAATGCTGTGCTTTTCAGTATGCGATGCAGCCGATAGATGCCCTCCTGGTCCATCTGGAAAAGCGGGAGAAACTGGAGTGGATGGTACTCCGGGTAGTGTCGGAAGAACAGGAGAACAAGGAGTTCCGGGCATCATACCACAAGAACTGCAGCAACCAAAAGAGATGGGATGTCGTCAATGCCCGCCTGGACCTGCAGGTCCTCCAGGCTTTTTTGGAGCTTCAGGTGATCTGGGAAGAGAGGTATGTGGGAGGACTTATCGACTGACAACCATGATGCAAATAACTCTAAGCAATGCACTTAGCAGCCTGAGCTTCAACGAATATAATTATTTTTTATTACACAGCGTTCCTCAATGTGTGTAATATCATTTCACAGAGTACAGGAACGACATGCAGGAGGGGCGATGCTGTTGAGAAAAAATGAACTTTTCATCATTGAAATCGAAACGATTAATGAGTCCAGCTGCATGTGACATGAGAAGAGGGCAACTAGGCCGTGGTCCTAGAATGCAGCGATTGACCTGAAAGTGAACCACTGATATAATATATTCGTCAATGTTTCAGTCAATTTCAATGATTACATTTCAAGAGTTTCAAGAAAAAACAATTGAGAATGCGATGAAATACTCGTTAAATCGCTCAAGTAACCATTACTGCTCACCACTTCCAAATTCGCTTAGCGACCAACCGACCAAGCGTCCCTAACTGATCTTTCGATTTTATGCAGCGTTTTTGAGGATGCCGTCCCGTCAATCAGAATCTTTATCTGGAATTGAACATTTTGCTTTCTTATATTTAATAGTACTCAATATTTTTAGGGTGAAGCTGGCCTACCAGGAGTTACAGGTCGTCCCGGAGCCAACGGTCCACCTGGTTTATCAGGTGATACCGGTGAATCAGGAGTTGCAGGTGACCGAAATTCAATTCTTTAGATATTCTAAGTTATTTAATATGTCTCGCTAAATTGTATGAAAGTTCTCGTGCCATGACTGGGTAGCCCATGGCGCATGACTTACTTATGGCAGTTTTAATGAACTGATCTCCATGTTTCAATATTTTAAAAGTACTTTTAATTATTCAGGTGAACCGGGAGAATTCGGTTTGAATGGTGCTGATGGAATTCAGGGTCAATCGGGCGCACCTGGCGAACCTGGGAACATCGGTGAGAGAGGGCCAAAAGGTAACTCTGGTTACGCTGGAAATCAAGGTTATCCAGGTTCACAAGGATCGTCTGGTGCCACCGGAGAGAGCGGAAGAATAGGACAGCAAGGTGTATCTGGTTATCCGGGACCAGCGGGCATTCCGGTGAGTAAGACGTATATTCAAATCTCAAAGTTGTACTTGTTTTTCGAAAATCTACAACGATTCAATGGAGAGCAGTTTGAGGACATATGCACGCACAGCTGAACGTATCGTTCAGAGCGACATTAATCACGCATACACACCGTTGTTGTTTAATAGAGTAAAGGGGCGGAAAAAAATTTTGGAGGGGATCGGAGGCTTTAGTTGATAAAACGTTTAACAGAGAAACAAACAAAAACAGTCTGCAAGATTTTTTGTACGAATAGGTCCCTCTAAACGCCTTTTCCTGAGATTAGTATGCCACCGACAAATAACACATGAGCGAAACTTATTCACGACGGTCCATTTCTTGGGCAACAAACGGTTGACTCTACACAGAGGAGGTATATAACATTTACTTTAGCTTTTGAATTAATCAAATTTATTACAGGGAAACCCTGGAGAAGATGGAACTTACTGCCCATGTCCTTCGAGAGGCGCACGAGGTAAGAAATCAGCAACGAAGAAAATCTGATCAGAAATCTTCACGAATATTATTCCAATATTGCTGGCATGTTAACTGAATAATCGTTTTTTTTTGCTGAATAAATTTTGTCTTGAATTGAAATAAGTGATCAGTAACTGACATTAATAATTCCTCAGTGAACATCTGAGTTTTTTAATCGAGAAGACGACCGTTATGCGGATTCTCAGTGCAGCCAAAACTATTATACAACCTTATTTGCTCGCTTCAATGCTAGACAGAATTTGAGATGAGATTATCTTGCTATCCTGTAAGTACAATATTTTTGCTGCTTGATGCAAACACAACAACGGAAATACTTCCACCTGTACGTCTTTTAGAAACAATAGAATATGTACTGCATAATATTCGTTAGTTGCAATGAGGAAATGATAGCTGTGTAATCAAGTTACGACTTGATGCTGCACAGATGTATGCAACACTCTTTTATCTTAATGTCTAAAAATATTGCTATATTGTCACTCACTGGCTTATGAAGAGTTTTTATCCGCGGATTTGACTGAAATCTTGATTTATTAGCAGTGTTTTGGCATTTTTACATACACCAAGAATGTCATCTGTGAGATCGATCCTTTCATCGTCATTGTTCAGTGTTCATTTTCGATCGGTATCGTTTCCATTGCCATAGAAAAGTTTTCGCCATGCTTGACAGTCGAGCCTGAGATCGTTAGAGTGAAAGTTCTAACTGACTGATTGGTTTTCGAAAAGAAATTTCGGTTAACTGGAAATTATGAACGCCTCCAAAAATAAACTACGGTTGTGATTACATTTTGGAATAATCTCATAGATCAGTAGATACATGTTACAAAAGAGGTAAAATTAATGTTCATTGAAAAGAATCCATTTCAGAAAATAGCCGAAGCATAGCAGTAAATGAATGAAAGACGAATATTCTTCGAATTTTAGTAATGCACATACATAGTCATGTACATGAATTGCTACATATGAGAACAGCATCATCATCACATGCATCTTCATTTCCCATACATTCAGCTTTCTTTTTCCCTTCTCATTCTTCGCCTTCATCTAACCAAGTTCCCTTCTCTATCTATTTCTCTCATTCTTCATAACCCGTCCAATACCACCGCCCAATTGAGGCAATGGGCCGTTGTCCGCTCGCATTCCTTCCTTCCACCTCAAAAAAACTAATTTTGCGATCGTAACTTCTTGTTATGTTGAAACAACGACTGTTTTACTTATATTCGTTCCATTGCAATGCCTTTGGTTTAAGCATAGACTTTAACGAATTAGCAACATTTAAACAATGAAAGAACTATAACACTTTCATGTAATAAGTGGGTGATAATGAACGGTTGATGAATGTTGTTGAGAGGATATGAGGTTGGTTATGGATTGAAGAGTCGTAAGGAGGTCATGTTTTTGAGAGATGCATAGCTAGGTCATTAGTGTCGTGACACCAACGAGCGCTTATTTTACTGGTGATTACTTCATCTGTTACGACTTTTGCTCGGTTCATTATTTTTACATTTAATTTATTATCATCATTTATACTTGTTATATGTTACATTTTTATCATTCATATTAATGTCATACTTTTATTCATTATGGTAATTTGCTGTTATTGATTGCTACGAGACGATCCGTTATTGCAGCTGTCGTTATCATTGCAATCAGTTATTCCAGGCGGACGGATCAAATCTCAAAATGATTAATTTTTGAATTACTTAAGTGTTATCGATTGGAAAATTAGCAATCAAGTTGCCAATTTCTTAAGAATTCAATGGTACAAAATTTAAAGAGAGTAGAAGCATAATTTTTATGCTGCCGCATAAATATTTGTACATATTGCGTGTTTTTACGCTTTGCTGTCCTGCACATATGTGAGTTTTTTATAAAGCTTTGTGCTGAATAAATGATCAGAAACTTAAAATTTGACTATCGATGTCAATAATGTAGCAAATTAACCGTGTTAGTGTCCATATAGAAATTATATTGACAAACTTGATTTACAAATAAATCGTGAATGCAATAATAGAAATATCTTCAGTGTTACACATCTGTTTTTTGGAGCGGGTGTAGTTATACGAAAGAACACTTTTGAATATTCAGTACATAGGATGGGAGCAATTGTAAGGAACAAACTTTGAACGTTGCAGCTTTATAAGCAACATAAATGCTTGAATTATCCACCATTGTTTGTCATTTTTTAGTCCGTCCTGATGTGGTATGTGATTTTAGCGAATAAAGACGCATCAGTTAGTGTGTTGAAAGATGCTGGTCAATTTCTGGTAATTATTTATGAACATATACATGAGAAGATGAGAATGAATAAATATATGGGGCGATGTTAATACGTATTATGAAAATGATATTT